ATGCCTGCACTATTTATTCCACACGAAACTCCTTATGCATGCTATTAGGTATATTACCACTCTATTGTGATGAGACCCTTTAAAGCAAGCCACCTTACATCCTATTCATATAATGGCATTAGACTCATGGCCTTTAGGATGTATGTACCATAATAACCTATGCGATTGTCAAGGTAAATTTTTTTTCTTATGCACCAATCATTCATATCATTTGCATGCATACATACTTTGGGTCTAGTATCTAGACAACCTTCGGATTCGAACCTAGAATCCTCGATTTGGTACCCTACACATGAGTGTACCCTACGTTTTAAACACTAAAGCTCTAGAAACCTAGGCATGTCTTTATCCTACCCTAGATTTCTAGGTATCTTTTCTCTTCAAATGTGAGTTTGGCCCTTGTGTCCTTATCCCTTCAAACATTGAAACTCTAGATCATTAGATATCGTTTTCTGTACAAATTGGAGATACCTAATACATGGATGTATCTTACTCTTTTAAAAAACAAAAGCCCTAATTTTCTAGGCCCCGTAGATCTTTCTACCTTAAACCCTAGATATGTAAGTATTTCAACTTGACCTTTTCATGCATCCCCCATAAAGGACTTGACATTTTAATATCCAAAACCTAAAATCTTAGACACCCAAAACTTCTCAAAGCTCTAAAAATCTTAAGCGACTCGACAAAGTTTTCTTATTACCCTAAAAATATTTCTCAAACCTTTTAGGGAACCTTGTTATAATATCCAACAATCTTCCTACTTCGAGCAACATGTTGCCTAAATGCTTTGTATTGATTTAAATTGATCTATAAAATCCAAAAATATTATATCCAAAAAAAAATATAGCATGCATCTTAATTCTTTACTTCTTTTTTATATTGGGGTGGTGTTTAGCCCTTAGAACTGACTAGCTGACAGATGTAGTTCCTACTCTCCATCAAATTTTACTATTTAAAAGGTCTTATATTGAAATAAGAGAATAATTATTTAGTCCTTAACGTTTGACCAAATTAACTAACTCATCCTTATAATTTGGCAATATTAATTAATAGTCCCTGAGGTTTACATCCGTCTAACTACTTTGTCCTGCAGTCCATATTTTTCAGATTTTTCCATTAAGTGAGTCAAAAGGTAAGAGAGAAGTGAAAGAATTAATTTAAAATGACGATAGTAGTCCTCATGACCTTTATCTCTCTTCTCTTCTCTCCACTTGCATATCAGATGTTCTTTATGGATATATTTGTTTTCTGGGATTAAAATTCAGATTTATATGATTTTTTAGATTTGATTTTATGTGTTTTTTGTGGTTACAATAACAACATGAAAATTTAACATCGGTTTTCATAAAAATATTTTTTTTTTCCATTACAAGATTTCTTTTGAAGATTTTCAATTCCAACATCGATCAAGACTCTAAAACATATGCACTTAAAGAGTCTAATATCATCTCAGATTTAAAATCCCTACTTCTAGCATCAATCAATAATAATCTTCGATATATAAAATTTTATTTTATTTTATTTTATGTTAAGAGCTATATTGTAATCACATGCAATAAACAGCCAAAACACACACACAAATTCAAATCTAAAAAATCCCAAACAATAATAAAGCCATAAATCTACTGGGATCTGTCTCTTATAAGCCGGAGTTTGAATCTTAAGCTTCACCTCAGAAATGGTAATAAAACCATCCCCATAACCAAAATCTCTATATCTATATAACTTTATTTTGCAACTTCATATACTTAGAAAGAGAAAGAGATGGAGTCGAGAGAAAGAGGTTGTTTGATTATTTAGGAGAAAGAGATAGAGATGGAGAGTTATTTGCTCTTTTAAGTAGTCCTCTAAATTTTTGTTGTTGATGGTCTATTTGGTAAGAATGAAGGAAGAGAGAGAGATAGGTGAGAATTGAGGAGAGGAGAGAGATGAGAGATGGAGATGAGTCAGAATTTGTGGGTCTTGAATAAAGACTTGATAAGAAATAGATAAGGTTATTTTAGTAATTTTATTGCTAAATGTCAAGGTATTTTCGTCTTTTCCTATGATTTTAACGGCAATTTTTAGTAAATTGAATGAAATGACTAAGTAATTTGACAGAAGCAAATTTCAAAGACCATTAATTAATATTATCAAATTGCAAAGATGAGTTAGTTAATCTGGTCAGATGTCAGGGACCACATAATTATTTTTCCTTGAAATAATAAAAAGTTGTAACTAGCTTTAGAATACCAAATTAATATAAAAATTCAATAAACATTTTAAGATCAAGAGAAACCCTAAAATTTACTTAAAAATTTTGATTTTGAACTAGGAGGACAAATTCAAGTTTTAATCCCTACACCAAAATCAGCATGAAATTATTGATCATGATTCATTTAGATCCTAAATTGCAAAAGTAAAAGAAGTACAAAAGATTATAAAAGAAAAAAAAAACTAAAACTGGAATCAAATTAACCTCAGAATTTTATTAAAGTATTAATTCCACTCTAAGAATTCTTGATTCATCTAATGATAGAGTTCAGAAACATGTTAAAATATAAAAAGCTTATTGTCATTCGTCCTAACTCAACTTAGGATCATTGCAAAACTTCGATTTGTCACTTAAACTCTCTTTCACTGTAATCTAGTGCTGAACAATGTTGGAAAACTGATGTGTTAAGAATAAATTAACTACTTGTAAATTTATTTTCACATCAATCTTGGGAGATGTAATTTTTCCTCTCCTTCACAGCAATATATATATATATTGCTTCTCTGCAATTTTCTCTCCGAAAGAAAAAGAGATAAACCATAGTTTTATCTCTCCTACACTTTACCATAACCCCGTCTTCTTCTCTTCTTTTTATCTTTGTTCCTTTCCTTGTTTTCTTTTTATCTTCAAATGAGTTGCTTGTTCGTTTGGATTAGAGACCAAATAAAATAAGAGAGAAAAGAAAATAAAGAGTGAAAATTGTCCAAAAATTCAATTCTCTTTCCTATAGTTTTTCCTGTCTCTTGTTTGGATGGGAGGAAAATATCTATATTTTCTCTTGCTTTCAAAGTTATGGGTTTACAATTTTAAATTTGTTCTTATATATTTGAAAACCTACAATGTGAATAATATTACTATAATTACCTATGAATAGTATAATTTTACTTCAATGTCTCATTTTTCTGTCCAATTTCAAGAGATTGAATTTTGGTAGACCCAAAAGAAATTTTTTGTACACATTTTTCGTTTAATAATTTTTTCTCATTGCCAAACAAGGTAAATAATTTTTTGTACACTCTCATTCAGATGCAATAAACTCTAAGTGTTTTTAGTTCCATAAATTTCAATTCATTTCGAAACAAATAACTTTAAATTCTTGCATAAAAATTGTTCCAAACACCAATATGAAGTAAAAGAATGAAATCATTTTTTACGCTGTTTTTATTTATTTATAACAATTGGTAATATTATAACCTTAAGAGACTCGAAATAAATTATGATGATATTAGCATAATTTAAATATAAATGAACCGATTATAATTAAATAAAACTCTTGTAATATCAAACTTAAGATGACGTTACTCATCTTATCTTTAAATAATTATTTATTTAATCGTCCAAAAGAGTAAAAAGAAAATTTTGAATGAATAAATAAACAAATTAGATATTACGTGCTCCCTCCGTCCTAAAAAAATAATCCAAAACATATGAATAATTATTATATTGAAATTATAAGTAAGGATTGATAAGAGTTATTAATAATAAAAATATAGTAGAGAATTTAAGGATTAATTATAATTCCAAAAAGGAAAGTAGACTATATTTTAAAACAAATTAAAAAGGAAAGATCGACTCTTTTTTTTAAGACAGAGAATTTAATAACCCCAGTTTCATTGAAAATAGAAAATCAAGCGACGGACAAGTGGTGGGTGCGGGATGGTGCACGAGAAGAAATGGCGGTGCAGGTTGAAGTTGGGTAATATTGTCTCCGACATCCTATCTTTTTGGTATTTATGTATGAAAAAAAAGGTTCATTTTGTTATCTGAACTTGAGTGAAATGTATAATAAAATGTCAATTTTTAATATTATGGCCAAAGAACTCCACAGATTGTACAAAAAGGCTCGAATTGCACAATTAGTGGATGTGTCAACAAAGGATAAGAAAAGAACTTTTTATTTCATTTATTTTATTTTATTTCATTTATTTCATGCAATATTAACCATCATAATGAAAATAGAGAACACCTTAGATTCCAAAATCCCCAAGCTGCTTCATTGATGACAATCAATTCAATTTTCAGGAATAGAACCATGAAGCTGGTTATGCTGCAAATGAAGAATCTCTAGCCGTGTCAACTTTTAAATCTGGAGATTTGAACAAAGAAAGAGTGACTGAGAGAGGGAAAGAAATGGTTTGTTAAGTTATCAATTAAGTCATCATGAACCGGTTGTTCGATGGAGTCTGCAAGCGAGTGACTAGAACTACAAGGCTAGAATATTTTGGTCTCACTGGCTCCCACCTGTTCAAGCGCGTCAACACAACAGTGTTATTCGGGCCTTTTTTGTTCAACTTGTTGAGCTCCTTTTTCATATAAAATTAAAAAAGCATTTGGCCCAAATTTGTGGGGCCCTTTATGCCTTTGTTACAATGAACTTGAAATTGCAGGTTCCGATTTCTAGCAGAAATTTATGCCTATTAATCATGGAAATAATTTCCGAGTTCTCTTAAAATGCCATGTGACAGGCACATGTTTTTATTGAGTGCAAAAATGATATTTCACTTTTTAATTAACAGAAAAGTGTGACAAAAAAAGAAAAAAAAAAAAAAAAAGACTAAATAACATAATAGAATCAAAAGGGAGGGATAATATAAGTTTAATTTCGAAAATAGAGGTCCCGATTAGTGAATTTCACTATGACTAGAAAGTTAGCTTTACAAACTGTGTCTAAATTAACTTGCAAACACTAACTTTATAAAGCCCTAGTTATTTCGAATCTCAACTGTTAAAAAAAACAAAAAGCAGATGATAGAAGACAAATTACCAAATCACCAAATCTTAACCAGTATCCGCTATTACAAGGTGTTCCATCAACTGAAATATTTCACTTCAGAAAGTCGCAACAGAAAAAGAAAAAAAGAAAAAAAGTCGCAACAGGAAAAGAAAAAAGAAAAAAGAAACTAGCAGTTTTGATATAACTAAACCTAAACCTAAACATATCCAACATATTATTCACAACATCATGTCGACGCATTCAAGCACGCAAGTACAGAACGAGTTTTACCTAAACATCCAACGAAATATGCTGCTTTGATAGATCAAGGACCGTTGGACCCTTCTACAGTTGGCTTAGGTGATTCCACCACACACTTGAATGGTACCTACACAACCAAAAAGAAACGAGAAGAAATTTAATTTTTTATTTTAGAAAAAAAAAAAAAGTAAAATAAGAGTATGCATGCTTATAGCCTCGTTATCACATCCTTGCTTTTGTTCTGGGCAGTGTGAGTTCCTACGCTCTTTAGCCATCCCCCACTTCCTTTCTTCCAATATTTGAACCTTATACAGATCTCGGCTAATTATATCAAGAAGGCAAATTTACAGATATGATTTGCCTTTGATTGGATAATACAAGAGAACCTCCTTGTGCCTGGAAATTCAAAATTTCTTCTCCCATTTTGTGCAACCATTGGCTCAGTTCAGTTTCCTCGCTTCAGGCGAGGAGACTTGATTCAAAGAGAGAGTAATTGTTAGGACTCTAATGAAATAATAAATAAAGTTTGGTAGTAGTCATTTGTGAACCATTTTTGTACTTTTGATTGGATTGTTTTGTAGACAAGACTGATATAAGATAATATCTGGATGACATGCATACATGACATATTCATGGTCTTCTTTTATTTATTTATTGTTTTTAATCCCCCATTTAGGAAATACCAAAAATTTCAATAGATCTCCATATCCAATCAGTTTTAGATCTCTTAGCAAAGTCCTCTTGAAAGCCAAATCAGAGAACTTAGTAGAAACTCCCATGCCAATCTCCAATACTGAAATTGGAAGCATTAGTCCCAAAAGGAAGATCTAACCTTTTTTTTTTTTTTTTTTTTTAAAGTCCTCTTGGAAAGCCAAATCAGGACTTAGTAGAAGGACATCCCGTATGCCCAATTCCAATACTGCGAAGATTGGAAGAGCATTATCCAAAGGAAGATCTAACTTTTTTTTTTTTTTTTTTTTCAGCTTGTAGGTAACATCTTTTTTTTTTTTTTTTTTTTCAGCTTGTAGTAACATATAGATAGGAGTTCATCTCTAGACACAAGTTGAGGAAGGTCCGTGGAGCTGAGTCTTTCAGATTAGACGCAGACATGTCCTTTGTATAACACATTGGGAGAAAAAAAAGTAATAAGTCTAGCTGAATGGTTGTACAATGGTTCCTACAATTCCAGCATTAAAATGAGTCCATTCCAAGCCCTTTATGATAACCTCTCTGCAGGTTTTACGCCGCTGCAACTGTAGAGTGGGGGATTGCGTTTTATCCGAAACTACAACCTCCTATACATGAGTCAGTTGCTCTAAGAAAAAACTTGAACTGTCCTAAACTTTATGGTCCACATCTTGTTTTGGAGAAAATTGGAACAGCTGCTTACAAGTTGCAGTTAGCACCTAGTTCTTCTATCCATCCTCGGTTGCATGTTTCTCGAATCAAAAAACACATTGGACACAGTTCTAATATTTCTGACACAATGCCACAGTTCACGACTTAGATTTTTGAATCATAAGAATCCTGAATGCTAGAGTCATTACCAGGCATAATGCTACTGTCTCTCAAGTGTTAGCTCTTTGGAAAAGCATGCCTGCTGCTGCTGCTGCCTCTTGGGAAGATAGGTCATTCCTGCAATCTCAGTTTCCTCACTTCAAAGTTGAAGACAAGACTTGATTCAAAGAAGGGTGCTATAGTTTGGAGACTAATGAAATAATAAATAGTCTGATAGTAAGCCATGTTGCAAATGAACCATTTTGTAAATTTGATTGGATTGTTTCCTAACAAGAATCCTATAAGATAATAAGGCTAGGAGTTCCCGAGTTAGACAGTCTCATTATAGAGATGCTGCGAGACAAAAGTCTTGTCCAAGAGGCCTAAATTCGTATCGAGAATGGGCCTTGGGACCGACCTCGTTGCATCTGAATTACTTGCATACATGAGCTATAAAAGTTTTTCTTTTATTTATTTATTTATTTTAATCCCATTTAGGGAATACTTCTCACAAACATTGAAGCACAAATTCAAAATATCTTCATCCGCAGTCAGTTTTAGGTCTCTTGGCAAAGTCTTCTTGAAATCAAATCAGGGAACTCAGTAGAAACTACCTTATCATTCTTTTAGTTATTCATTTTTTTAACCCCGTTTAGGGAATACTTCCCAAAAACATTAAAGCACCAAATTCCAAAGCTTCATCTCCAGTCAGTTTTCGATCTCTTAGCAAAGTATTCTTTGAAGAAAATCAGGGAACCTAGTAGATATTACCTTGCCAATCTCCAATACTGACGTTGGTTTAAGAAAATCAGGGAACTTTGTAGAATTGAAGCACCAAATTTAAAAGATCTTCATATCCTGTCAGTTTTAGATCTCTTAGCAAAGTTTTCTTGAAAGCCAAATCAGGGAACTTAGTAGAAACTACCTTGCCAATCTCCAAAACTGAAATCGGAAGCATTAGTTCCAAAATGAGGATCTAACCTTTTTCTTTTGGCTTCTAGTAACATAGATAGGAGTTCATCTCTAGACACATGTTGAGGAAGGCCCATGGGACAGCTAGTCTCTTGAGTACCCACATGTCCTTTCTATAACTCATTGAAAAAAGAACTCTACATGCCATAAACATATTCAAGGTGCATGGGTTTGCCAAATCCAATTCTTGGTCCAAATGGTCAAGTCTACGTCAATGGTGGTACAACACTTTTACCATACCAGCATTGAAATGAGTCTTTTCCAAGCCCTTTATGATAACCTTTCTGCAGATTTTACCCCAGCTGCAACTGTAAAATGGGAAATTGGGTTTATCTCAAACTGCAACCCTATGGACAAGTGTGTCAATTGCTACAAGAAAACACATGAAACTCAATCCTACATTTTATGGTCCATATCTTGTTCTGGAGAAAATTGGACCAGCTGCTTACAAGTTTCAGTTGCCACCTGGTTCTTCTATCCATCCTCTGTTTCATGTTTCTCGGCTCAAAAAACACATTAGACTTGGTGCTACAGTTTCTGATACAGTGACACAGTTCAATGACTTTGATGACACGATTTTTTTTTTTTTTTTTTTTTTTCGGCTCAAAAACACATTAGACCTTGGTCTACAGTTTCCTGAATACAGTGACACAGTTCAAATGACTTTGATGAGCAGATTGTTTTTTTTTTTTTTTTTTTTTTTTTTTTTTTTTTTTTGAAGCATTAAGAATCCTGGATCAGAGTCACTACCAGGCATAATGATACTTCTCAAAAACATTGAAGCACCAAATTCAAAAGATCTCCATACAGTTTTAGATCCTTCATATAAATCAGATCTTGAAGAAGCTTTCAGAAATTTTCAGCCATTCAAGTTCCTCATCAGAGTTATTACTGCTTAAAATCTTCCCATGATCATGTATCAAGAAAATTAACAAAAAGAGAATAACTATCACCAATTGTGAACTATCATACAAATTAAATCATACCTTGCACTGAAGACTTGTTATTGTTGACTTCAGCAAAGCATCTCCAACTATCAACCTCAAACTTTTTATAAAATCTCCCCTGCTTATCTTTTTGGCCTGATGGTTATAGAAGATTAAAAAATAAATAAATAACTAAAAAGAGAAGATGACACGAGAACATTAGAAAACATTTAAACGAACACATAATATAACAAGATATCATGCTATTAACATACCTGGAAAAGTTCATAATTTGTAGTTACGAGTTCCATTTCTTTACGAGGAATTTTGTTTGAGATTGCAGCAAACAACATAGGGAAAGGCATCCAAGGTGATTTAGGAGTCCTTGTGTTGCTTGAACCAAGACTTGATGCTTTTCCCAGAGATCCCCCACATTCTGAAACTGGTTGACTCTCACTTCCCTAAAATAGCAAACATATAATAAACTAAGAACCTGAAATGAAAATCATCAATGACAAAAAAAAAAAAAAAAAAAAAAAAAAAAAAAAAAAAAAAAAAAAAAAAAAAAAAAAACACTAGTTTAAATCTGCAAAATTAAATTCTAAAAAAAAAAAAAAAAAAAAAAAAAAAAAAAAAAAAAAAACACTAGTTTAATCTGCAAAATTATCTACTTGCACCATTCAAGTACAGAGATGGTATTGCCCTTCAATACCTTCTGACATATATTAGTCTGTGATAGCATTAAAGAGACATAATTTACCATGACCAGTTCTTCCTGTTTGGTCTATTGGTTATCCATCAATATCTTACAAAATATTGCAGCCTTTTATCTTTACAATGTAACAATCAATTTGCATGTTTCAAAGTAAACTCATGAATCTTGAATGACACAAATAAATACTAAATGAAAATTATCTGTTCCAACACAATTGCACATCCTGGCATATTGCAAATCAACATCCTTTCAGCTAGAATAAAAATATAACTTAGCAAACTATAATGATTATGATAGAGGCAGGGAAAAGAAAGTGCCAAAAATATATAAAGATACCCTTACATTGGCTGATTCCATAGTTGGATTCAAATCAACTGCAGTGGATTCTATTGGCTGATTCAGATCAACTGTAGAGGACTCCATCGGCAAATTTCGCAGAGCACCTTGTGAAGATGTAGTAATACCAGAAACAGCATGCTTAATATCACTTCCAATCGAAAAGCCTGTACCAGCAAACATAAAAGCTAGCAGTCAAGTAGCAAGGAAGTTTCAAATTTAAGAGAAACTCATGTACTCATACAGCATCTGCAGAAGACACTGCCAACTAAGTAATTGGATCAATGGTTGGAGCAGCTACCGATCTCAAGGAGTAAGAAAAGCCAAACCGAAGTAGATAACTATGCATCATGGTTTTGATTATTAGCAGAGACAGTAGATATTGATCTCATGGACTAAGAAGGCCAAACAAAAGTAGATAATAACACAGGTTTCGATTATCAGCAGCCAAGAATATTAGACAGCAGTAGAGATTGATGCTCAATTCTGAAACCATTAGAGGTCATTGGTTCCATCATCCACAAATAACAACAAATAATGCAGTGGGAATGTATCCAAAGTAAAGCTCTTCAAGTGCTCGTTCATTAGTAGAACAATATGGATGTATATGTTAACATGTATGCATATATATGCACACAAATAAAAAAATAATGTTCAACCAGAACTAGAAATCACAAGAAGGAATAGCATATCACCTTCAGCATTAGACGAGACTTTGAAACTAACAACAAATTCTGGATAAATATGGGTGTTCATATTCATATTCCATACTATATACTGTCCCGGATTTTGAAGATCATCGACACCACTATCAAAGTCCTCACTGCTGGGATAACACTGCTGAGTCCCAGGCTCAAGGAGCTCCATGTTTCCCATTATTACACGACAAAATAAAATGTGTTGCAACCCATTTTCGTCAACATCACAAAACTTTGCACTGCAAAAGTATGACAGTATTAAAGGCATAGTAAGAAATACAAAAAATGTGGACAAAAAACAATGATTCTAATATGAAAAGAGAACATGACATCCACTCACATAAACCATGACATCCACTCACATAAACTTTTCAAACCAATCACTCAACCTAAAACTAGCAAAAACTGTTTCACAACATTAAAATATAATAAGAACCATTACAATCATGAAGATCGTAATTATGTTGAATAAGAAGATTCATTTGTTGACAAAACAAAAATAAGCTTGCAGGAGGATTCGTGTGCATCTCCATAACTATGCAGCCAAGCCAGCTTTCTGCTAGGCTTACTGAGACCAAAATCAAATTGCAGCTCAGAGAATACCAGTAAAATAAGTAAATTACTAAATCCACTAAGATGGCTATTTGGTGAAGAAAATTAGATGCCACAAACTTACAATCAATGCACCCAGCACAAACAATTTCAATAGTTCATAAATCACGAGCATGGACAGAAAAAACCAACCTGGTGTCGCAGCAGTTTGCTGCAGAAAGATGAACACCAATGCCATATTTTGACTTGGTTATAGATGATCCACAATGCCCAAGTCCACAAAACATGACTGTAGAGAGTAACCTTTTGGAAGAAGCAAGCCAAGCATATCTAACATTTGCGTCACCACGGCATTTTTTTGTTAGCTCAATCTGCTTTTGGAAAAGCTCCAATCGGGCATGCATTGAAGTACTAGAACAACGCTGCATATCAAGAATGTCAGCACCACCAAAAGAGCTCATGCCTGTAAGAAACATTTTCCTTACACTATCAAAATCTAACTTTACATCAACAGAGTCATTTTCAGTTGATCTATTTGTTTTATTATGTTGATTTTCCTCAACAGCTTCATCAATTTTTTCTTCAAGTTTCCTGTTGCAACTATCCTCAACTTCTGCAACATGATAGTCGCTGTCACTCATAGGTTTTTGGGCAATTTGAAAATGTTTGACAATAGCATTTGACTCTCCACTACACTCCTTCAAATTGGATTCGTCCACTCCATTTATGTCAATTTCAACCTGCACCTTGATCTCATGTGGCCCATAAGACTCCGGGAAAATATGCCGTTGGTCATCCACACAATTATGCTGGCAGCAGTTAAGCAGCTCCTGATCATCAACATAAATTTCGGGAAAGAAGCAGCCACCTGCCTCATCAATCCAAGCCATTGGTTGTTGTAAACCTGTCTTCATGTCCATTCGAAACATATGTAAGAAATCAAGCACATAACGGTGACCCTCTAATTCAACCTCAATAGCCGGTTTCTTGTTTTGAAGCTCATTTTGGACTAACGCAACAAGATCTAGAGGAAAATCATTCCATTGACCATTCTGATAAAACATAAGACGGTTTGGCACCCCAGTCCTCATAAAATTTGAATAGCACCGGAGCAAAGATCTTCTAAAATGATATCCACAGCTCACATGCTTGCTCTGGCTTCTAGCTAGTCTCCTCCGTTTCCCAAGCTTATATTTTGAAAAATTCAAATTGGGCCACTCAGGTGACATAATGTGAGAAGCTCCAGCAAAATATGCTGCACAACGGGATGCTCTTTTTCTTTTCAGACCGAGCATAACTCTATGAGTACTACCCAATACCTTTACGTTCTTGGCTTCCATTTCTACCTAACAGATCAATATCTATCAAGAAATTCAAATCCAAAAGTTCGAATATAAAGAAAACTAACAACTCTAGCCTCCCACCAGTTTTATAAAGACAATGACATCGGTGATGATCGGCAAGCCCTGAATAATGGGAATTAGTTAGAAAATTAGAAAGTACAGATGAACTCTGCATGCCATTCATAGCACAAATGCAAGACGTACTGATCTACAGAAGTGTCTAGTCAGAAGGACAACAAGAACCCAGTCAAATACATTAGATAATGAAGAAGACTTCAGATGGTACGTATCACACTGCAGTTACATAAGTACACTGCAGTTATGGTCCTGTGACCTGGAATGTCCACTTTTTCATTACATGAAACAGAAACTCAACTTCAGATCTATGTAATGATCCAATTATAGATGCAATAATTGCTTATCCATGAAAGTAATGATCCAATCATAGATTTAATAATTGCCTGCTGTACATGAAAGTAATGATCCAATCATAGATCCAATCAAAGAAAGTCATCAAGGCATAATCTTTTAACCAAAAGACACATGAAACCATTTACACAGAGCTGTAACTGACCACTACAAGCACACAATGCCTTCGTAACCTTAATCCTATTTTACGATATTTAAAATTTGAAAGAAAGTGAAGAGTCTGTAGACAGCCAACAGAAAATATAACCAAAAACGGAAATGTTGCAGTAATGGTACTACAGTTCATCTCTTACTTTTGCATGCATGTTCCCGTGTAGACATGTGTCCTATGATGTCAAGTGTGTATGTCTACAAATAGATTGTACAAAGCGTTATGCCTACGCACTCCACATAATAACACCTCCAGTGTGATATGCCCCATGCCCATACCCCTATCATGAACCAACACATGCATCGTCCATGTGATTAAGATTTTGACATGTATAAAAACAAATAAATTGAAACATGATTCGTTTCAATCCACTTGTTCATCCTTCTCATGAAAAACTTGCTTCTCATGTCCTCAACTTTTCTATTCCTCCTCTATTTTCCATCTTTCCACTTTACTATGCTTTCCCCTGTTCCCCATCTTTCCACTTATCTAATCTTGATACCAAGTAACCCTTTATCATAACAGCATTGAATCCAACTCCCAGCCATGGAAAAATGGCGCAAAATTGCATGAAAAAAGAACTGCAACGTCGATGATAAAGTTTTAAGCTTTAAAACAAAAAATTCTTTCTCAAATTCCACATTACAAATAAAGAAAATAATTTGGTTCTCAAAACAATATTCTGAACAAACTGAAATAGAGAGAGAGAGAGAGAGAGAGAGAGAGAGAGAGAGAGAGAATTGCAATTCAGTTGTGGAAACTTCCTTTCCTCTCTCCACATAACATAAGTAGTGATCGAATCTAAAAGAAAAAAGAAAACGTTAAACTTTTTCCTTCCATTAGTTTTCTTTTCTTTTTTTTTTTTTTTTTTTTTTTTTTTTGTGTGTTCAATAAAATTGGACCAAAAGCCAAATAACTTTTTTTTTTTTTTTTTTTTTTTTTTTTTTTGTGTGTTCCAATAAAATTGACAAGCCAAATAACTTAAATTTCAGAAATATACAAGTGCTTAAAAGCAAGTTCAATACAACTTCCCTGCACAACGAACATAAATGCAGGCAAGAGACCAAACATGAAATGTGCTAATTACACAAAATGTTATCTCGACAAGTAAGAGAATGCATTCAACAGGAAACATACTTAGAGAACCAAACACAATGGTCCACACATCTCACATCCATAATTACTTCAATTCTAGAACTGAAGAAACTACCATTCCAATGGAAACACAAAGGATGAATACAACAAAATAGAGAGACATAAATAACAAAAGAAACACATACCTAGTACTGCAGTTAGTTAGCATCCTGAAAATGTTCCTCTTCTATACGAGCGTCACAAAATGCAAAGAAGTAGAGCCACTGTTATTTATTCCACAGTCTTGAGTAGCTCTGTTCCTATAATCATCCAATATCAAACAACAATACCCAAAAAATAATAATAACAATCTTTATTTCAAGTTCCAAAAACTAATTATCTGTCAACCAAATTAAATTAACAAAAATTTTGGTTAATTTAACTTAGTTTACTTGATCAAGCTCAAATTATTAATTTCCTTAACTATCAGATAGTTTAGATTAAAAAAAAAAAATACCAAATCGAAATCCAATTAGGAAACAGAACAGATCTTGACCTCAATACAGAGATAAATTTGAAAAATAAATAAATCAATCAATAATAAATTGTACGCCTGCAACACAAATTTTCATCTTTAAAAAAATTGGAAAATGAAAAATATGGGTCAAAAAGTGCAAAATTCCTTTAAATTCAACTCAAAAACGCAAATCAATTAACAAAACAAATTCCAAAAGCACGTCCAGTCAAAATCGGACCCGATCTACTCATTTCTATCACAAAATCCAAAAAAATAATAAAATTTATATTAATCCGAAAATCTCAAAAAAATAAATAAATTAATAATCTTTCGAATTCAAGTCTTTAAAACATGAATCCATAAGCTATTTTTTTATATTATTCGATACTTAATTGGAAAAACAAAGCGTAGAAAAAAGAAATAAATTGAAACAGTATTACCTGCAGATGATACAACAATTAAAAACATGTATAACTTGTGAGGTTCGTTTCTCGCCTTAGAGAGAAGAAGAAACCCTAACTAGAGAGAAGAGGAACAGTTAGAGAGATACGACGCCGTTGATCTGTCAAAAAATAGATATGGCGTTGACGGTGCAAGTTAAGTCGGCGGTCATCGAAAGGCTCCCTGTCATTTGTTATTTTTCCTTTTTCTTTTATTATCTTCTTTTTTCTTTTGATTTTTTTTTTCTTTCTTTTCCTTGCCCGAAAAGCAAGAAAGACTAATGAACCTGCGCGCACCACCAGACAACGTTTTGTTTTTTTCTGAGAAAATGCTAAAGTAACACTGTAGTGATAAAGTTCTCTGTCACAGTTTCCATCTATTTGATTGATTGTGAGGAGTGATAGAGAAGGCCGAGATGAGATTGGTTCGTCCAAGGATTGACCGGCGAGACAGTAATAGTTATGTAAACCTACTTTTAGGGATAGAAGCACAGAGATATTTTAAGGACCCGCTACGCGCCCTTTAAGAAAAATAGGAATAAAGATATCATTCAAATGTCAAAAAAAAAAAAAAGGAATAAAGATTAATTCCCTCAACTTACTTCGTAAGATTAAAAAGCTAAATTAGATTTGTTTTTACCAATTTAACTTTTAAATTTATATGGAATGATTAAAAATTTTTGGTTTACTTTTTAGACCAATTTAATTCTGAAATTTATTTTGATTTTTACAAATTAATAATTGATTTAATTTAATATAATTGACTTCTTATCCATTTTTGTCATACACTAAAAATACTCATATCAAACTTATATCAAACTTTTCTAATACTTATGAATATAAACTTAAAATCCATAAACACAACATTTCTTGTCATATAATAAATTTATAAATATGCATTATAACTTTAATTTATACAATATAAAAATTGCATAGATTTCATAAGTGATAACCTAGTAATAAAGGTTAATTTTAAAATGTTCAAAGTAATACATATTTATAAACTCAAAACCATCAATTAAGGTAAAGAGAAATACAATATACTTCATTTATCATTTTTCTATATAATTAATTTATTTTTTTAATAAATTATTTAGCTCGATCTCATCTACAGTTTTAATAAATGCCTAAATAATGATTTTCTCCTTGTAAGTACAATGAAGAATTAGAGATTAATTGACTCAAAATATCAAATATGATTTTTTTTTTAATCATTTTAAATAAGTTCGGCGATTAAATTGACCTAAGATATTAAATCTAATTTTTTAAAATTATTCAGGGCTAAATTGGCTCAGATCGAATCTCACCTTTTTCATCCTGCTAAACAAGTTTCGGGACTAAATTCGCATTTATTCCAGATAGATATGGATCATAATAAATGGATTTGAAATGATTATGGATAGTAAAATTAATATTCGTAATGGATACAGGTAAGGTACGGATTAAGTCTTTAGATAACTGCTACCGGTTACTTGCTATATTAAACGAGTTTAGTAATGGGTATCCGCAGGTATCATATCCAATATTAGTAAAAACTGTATTTTACATAATTTCATATTTGGATAGTTTAAGTTCACAGATACCCTAAACGTATAAAGGTACTTTAAATGAGTTTTAGACAAATACGGGTAGTAAAAATTTAAACAGATTTTGATACGGGTACTTAAATGGATATCTAAATGGGTTTAACATGTATACGGATAATAAATTTTTAAATTGATATAGATACGGGTAGCTTAAAATTCACGAGTAGCCGTCGGTTTCCATCCCTACCTACATTCGTTCTCATAATTTGTTTAATTATTACAGTGGTATTTTGGGAAAATAAAGCAATTAGAGCTGGTACACACATATAGGTGTCAAAATAGGTTCGCGTGTCGGGTTTGTCTCACATGTCACGATTAGTTTCAATACGAAAATGAGTTGTTTAATAATTGTGTCAAATATTTAAATCACAACACGAAAATTAAATAAGTGACACAAACACAATACATGTAACATGGTTAATTGAGTTATATATGACAAAAAATTTAATTAAATTTAAGTACATGGATCATATACGGGTTAGAATACAATACGTATTAACATATATAACTCGCATAACCCGCTTAATATACATATTACATATTAAATTACATTTTTATCCTTAATTAAACGGTTTAGACGGATTAGAAGAGTCGATGCTTGACACGACATGTTTAAATTCGTGTCATATATAATCCGTTCATGACACGAACCCTACACTCAACCATAACCTATTTAATTTCCATGTTAGGCAAATTGTGTTTCTTGTCGTAATCCATTTTGATGCTCCTAATCAACCCATCACTTTTGTTATTCGCACTCTCAAACTTGAATTTTCGTCCATTAAACATTTCAATTTCAAAAATTTATTTGTCACGACCCGTTTCCATAGGCCGAACCGACACTAGGACCTGGATAGGCTTAAGGCCTCCAAAGCCCGTAGTAAGCCTTTATTAGTTAATTCATATTCTGTTTATAATTGTGGCTTCATGCCCAGTAACTTTATTCCACAAATATATCAAAGAACAATTCATATATTTAACATATATTCTTACTATTCAATTATAACCCATTTGGAATACAATTGTGGAACTCGATAATCTATAGTCCTTTACATTTACATGGTTAACAAAACTATTAACAAGTTTCTAGTTTTGATATTTTAACTCAGTCGGGTTCATAGGATTCTCCTTTCTTCCTATTACCTAAAAAAAATAGGAGGCAGGGGTGAGCGTCAAACTCAATGAGTAGGGTTAGATAACCTTCTCACCCCACACAATCACACATATGCTACAGTAAATCGTTTTAATCCTCCGACTAGTTATATGATCATGCAGTTTGTCACACAAATGGCAATATAACAATCACACATATGCTACAGTAAATCGTTTTAATCCTCCGACTAGTTATATGATCATGCAGTTTGTCACACAAATGGCAATATAATAGCAATCACAATTATTATCATCCTCATATAATCACATCACATAAAAATTAGTCAGTGGTGTCACCAAAACCCCCAATGAGCCATCCTCCCACATGGCTCACCCTCTCATAACGTGTGCACGAGGGAGCTAATCTCCCATACCTGGCCGATTGGTCTAATCCTCACATGACCAGTCCTCTCATTGTTTTTCCATTCTCTCTTTTCTTTTCCATACCAACAAGAGGCCAAGAGGCAACCCGGTGGTCTCCGTCAAATCTAGATCATCAGGTGCACGCAACAGGAGGCCACCCTGTGGGCTTCCATAAAATCCAGATTATTAGGTGCACACGATAGGAGGCCACCCTGTGGTTTCCATATAATCCATATTATCAGGTGCACACAGGGGCGCCGATCTCCCATTTACCTGGCTGACGGTCAAATTCCATAATTTCATTATATTCAGGATCCATGCACTATAGATCGTCCTCACAAACCCATGGTGACCCACTTCATCCCAATTCCACACAAACAAGGCACATCAATATCACAACACAGGTAATCAAGCAAATTTTAATCGCAACAATAGTGCAGCACAATATAGCAATTTAACAAATGCATGATAACATTTAGCCGATGAATGCAAAGATGCAGGCGGGATGATGCGAATTATCTAACACTACTCACAGTTCTTTATTGTCCTTTAAAAGAATTGTCTTTTATTACTGCATGCTTCTAGCTTTTGCCTTCGCATTTCGGAAATTTTATAAACCTCTAAAATAAAAGGAAAATTCTAAAATAAGAATTCTAATTTCGAGAAATATATTTTCACATTTTATTTATTAGTTTTGGTTACTAGGTTGCCTTAGTGTTTTCCTTAATTTATTATTATTCTAAATTTTTATAAAACCTTTAAATAAAACTTTTAAATAAAACTTCTAATTATTTGGTAAGTAATATTTTTATAATAATAATAATAATAATAATAATAATAATAATAATAATAATAATACTGAAAGTTTTAGTCGTTACTTCCTATTAAGGATATAACTAATTTAATTTTGTATTAAATGTTTCGCCGAAAATTCGACAGCATTTCCTCCATAAATTGTACTACCCAATTTTACATATTCCACATGTCAACACACAGTCCATCCATCGGCAATTCACCTTAACTGATCCCGTCAACCATAACCATCATTCATTCGTTCATTCAATTCACATCTTCCTAACACTATTTATTAAAGTTCCTAAAATTAATTTTTATAATTATTAGTTAGGAATTCTTATTTCATTATCTACCTTATATTTATAGTTAATGTTCATGAAGTATATTTAACAATATTATAGTTAATGTTCATGAAGTATATTTAACAATATTCAATTTCATTCACTTAAATACTCAATTAAATTCATTCATTAATTAATTCGAAATTTATGAAAAAATTGTGAATTGAGTCTTAGAGTATACTAATTGAAAATCGGACGACGAATCCACAGTCTATATGAGGAGAGGAAGATTCTGCCTTCCGGTGCCTCGCCGGAGTGTCGCCGGCCGGTTGCCGGACAGCCGCCGTGCACGGTGGTCGAAAAGTCATTCTTGCCCAGAATCACACACTTCATACACCTCTAGAATCATAATTTCACTAGGAACTCAAATCCATGCTCCAATTATTGAGTCTATGGATCGTTTGGCCTAAACCTACGCCGACCAAAGCTTAATGCCGCGATCAATGGTGGTTTCACTACCGAAGCCCAATCGTCGGAACCAAAGGTAGGAAAACACGCGCAAGACCAAGAGGAGTTGATTGGAAGTCCTCTCGCTAGCTATGTCGGCCAGAAACAGCGAAAATCGGCGGAGAAGTTCATCGTGTGGCGTCGCATGTTCCTGTCACGTTTTCTCTCATTTCAGGCCCCGTTTTTCCATAATAAGGCCACATATGGCTTCATCTCAACGTGATCGCTAGTTTAGAGTCAGGGCTAGCCGTATTTAGTGGCAGGAGGACGCAGATCGAACGAGAGGCAGAGAAGATCGCGCGGGGAAGAAAAAGAAGAGAAGAAAAGAAAAAGGAAGAAAAGATGGTTCTAGAGAACTCTGGGCCATTCCGGTTTGATTCGAACCGGTTTGATCCAAATCAGCGATTCAACTCAATTTTTATTTAGTTTAATGATTTTTCACTTGGTTTTCGAAAAATCAAAATTGACTTACAGGTCCGGTTTAATAATAATAAAATATTTTTCCATTGATTTCATTGGTTGAGTTTTATGATTAATTTTTAAATGAAAAATTTTTGAAAATATTTTTTCGGGTCATTTCATTATTAAATAATTAAAAAATATAAAAATTATTATTTTTGAAAAGACATACTAATTATATATCAAATTAATATTTTCTACATAAAAATCAAAACACTCTAAAAATTATTGTCATTAGTATGAGAAGATGTATAATATTATCAAAATTTGTAAGTTCGAATATAAAGTAAGT